GTTTGATGCGGAGTGCTTCCCCATTCCAATCCTATCCATACGCCATGATCATTGCCGGGGGAAGTTGCCAAGATGCTTATACTCGTGTTGGCAATCTTTGGGCACATTTTTTCCTTTACGACAGGGTAAGCTGCTGGACATCGATTGATATGGCGAAAGCAATTGAGAATGACCCCTCCATGCGTGAAAATTGCGATACGCTTCTTGTCTCCAAACGACTTCGCGACATACTCCAATGCCAGAGCGACTCGGCGCAATGCTGCTTGGCGGGATTCGCCTGGGGAGTTTGGATCATGTTGTCCGCGTTGTCGACTGTCGAGAACAGCCAACAATGTTGGATCGGCTCGAATCTCGTCCATTGTGCGGCCTTCAAGAAGCCCGTAGTGCTCCTCGCGAAATCGAGGGTCTTCTTCAACTGGAATGTTCAGTCTCGCTCCGACAATGTCTGCCGTAGCACGCGCTCGTGACAGATCACTATACATGATGTCAACGATTTCACCCCTTGCTACGGCTCGTCCTACCTTGACAAAATTAGGTCGAACGGTACGGTTGCATGGGCTTGGTGCAAGTAGGCCGCGACTACATGAGCTTGACGACGGCCAGATTCATTCAACGGGATGTCTGTGTGACCTTGCCACCGTCGCTCCACGTTCCACTTGGTTACGCCATGTCGTATCAGCCACACTTCCACCATCAATCACGTTTTATATGCCATTCGGTCAAAACACACTTGGTGGAAATTGCTGTAAAACGCATGTTCCCAGTGGTCAGTCGAACCCCAACCGATCCCAAAACCTCTACAAGATGATATGTTTAAAGGTTCCAACTTCACCTTTCTTATAGTTTAATCCAGTATATATTCGGCTAATCACTAAAGTCCTGTTTGAGTGGGCAATTTCAACAATTTCTATTCCTTATGGAACGGTTGAAACTGATTGGAGACCAACTCATCGAGTTCAGCATGACTCGAGAATTTCAACATATACCTCTGTTCTTGTGGTTGTAGAAATTGCGCGAGATATACTCAAGTTTGGTTAGTAGATATTCGGCTGATCTATGAGAGTGTACGTTAGAATTGAATTGAGGCCGATGCCTCGTCGAGGCTGGCGCGGTCCCCTCGAGCCCAGTGGTCCACGCCAACGTCAGGTTGAACAGGCAACTAACCAAGATAGTTATGATTGGCGAGGTGAACTCGTCTCGACACAGTTTGTGAATAGTTGATGATGGTACGGTTAATTTCACCTTGAATTCTCCGAAACCTCCACTTGCCGTACCGAAGTGGCAGTGGCTCCGCTTGACGAATGAACGACATAACCACCAAGGGTCACAATGTAACCATGGTGATGTGAGCACAGAACCTCCTGGGCAGGGAGGGATAGCCGCGCGGACCAACGTGCCAGTGCGCCTTCACGAGTTTTGGCAATGTCGGAGGCGAGGAAACACATAATAATGTTGCGTTTGCAATTCCATAGAAGAACGTGGTATTTGCGCTGTGTGGGAGTAAAACGGCTAGCGAAGCAGTGCACGCACAGCTTTCTGAGGTCAAGACAGAGCGTCGGAACTATGTCGCTGAGACGGCTTGGTCAATGAAAGGCCATGAAAAGCGATCTTCCAGCTTAACATAAATCTTGCGATCTGATTGGCTGTCAATGCATTACTCGGCTCTGATTGGTGAAAATATGTCGTATTCTATTTTTACGGATGGCAGTTTCAGTCCAACATATTTTTCCTACTCTGCGGTCTGAAACGACCTAAGAGCCGACGGCCGCACTTCGATTTCGCCCTTCATGCCGATGCCCATGCCCATGCTGCTGTGCATGTGCCTCCCCAAGGACAGGTCACCCAACAATGGGTCGGCTGCGGCGGCCTACGCGTGCACGTCCATCGGCACACCATTTGCCATTACCCACGACTTTCACGTCTCTTACAATTTTGAGCTGGCGCGGTTCGAGATTCAAGGGGACAGACCACATCCTCCCGAGTTTGCGTCTCAGCTCGTCAACTGGAACATGCATCAGCACTTTAATGTCCCGATCCAACAAATCCCACGTGTTGCGTTACCACCATACGAGGACCGTATTCCTGCTGTCCTCCTCATGCTGCAGCATCAGTTCAACACGCACAACGGCCACGTTGTTCCATACATCTTCAGAGAGAGTCCAGGAAAAGCTGATCGCGATCGAGCCATTCAAGCCATCAATAGCGGCACGTTTAGCGGCGAAGATATTTCGGATGTTCGCATTGTGGCCGACCTGATCAAAGTGTGGTTCCGAGAGCTTCCGATCCCGCTGCTCCACCAAATCCCGCTCACAGTCATGGAGCAAATTAACGCAACATCAGGAGACTGTCCCAACATGGTGGATTGCATGGGGACCATGGAGCTGTCGATTTTGCAGTGGCTGGCGGACCTCCTGCTGCACGTCGCGTCGTTCGAGCACATCAATCACATGGGGATTGACCAGCTCGCGATCATTCTCGCGCCCAATCTCATACGAATCGACACCCCCAATCCCATGGTCGCTGTATCGCTGTCCAAAGCAAGCGTCGACTTTCTTCGGCGGTACCTCAAGCACCGCGACGCGAGCGTCAATCCCTCCACCAATTTACCTCCAGCAGTTTAACTCAATATTTATTTGTCATATAATTCCTCTGTCATACAAATTGCCCCCACTGTTTTGTTCTTTGAAGAAAACAACAGTTCAATCGATGAATTGGGATTGAAATTATTTTGTGTGAATTTTCGTGTGCTGAAATTATTCACGTTGTCCAAGCGGCAGCACATACATCACATCACAATTGAGCAATGACATGGTCCACTTCTTGCGTCGTCGCGACGTGGAATCCATGCGCCGCTGTCACAACTGCCAGTTCCACGTTGATGCTTGTAAGCTTTTCTTCCATGTGCTACCAAGGTCGCCGTAGCAACATCAACGTCATTTCCAAACAGGGCGCAGCACGTACCTGTTTGAGCGTGCTGATGGCGAGCTTTTGTGCGTCGGAAAGCGACATGTCTTCACTGTAGCTCTCCTTGAGGTTGTTCTGCGCGCCTTTTTCACCTGATCCGATCGCCTTGGCGTGAACACGGAGGTACGTGCCAGACGGGTCCGAGTAAAACAAGTGAGGACCGGTGTCATCAACACCGGCCAAGAGCAAAGCCACACCGAACGGACGGCTCATTTTTTGCTTGTGCGAGTTCTCGTCGTTGCCTTCACCAAACGACAAGGCCAAGTCGCACACGGCCTGGGTCAACGCGTTCACACGAATCGGTTCGTTGTACGAGAACCAATGGTTTGTCGCTTCTACGCGCGCATGGTCGATCAACGTGCGCGCATCTGCTGTCAAGCCACTCATGGCCGCGCCAATGTGAGAGTCGACCTCCATGATCTTTTCAATGCTGCTGGGTTCCAAAAGCGTCGATGTGATACGCTTTTCCACAGCCAAAACCACCCCTTCCTTTGTTCGGATGCCCACGGCAGTCGTCCCCATCTGCAACGAATATTCATCCAAATGTCCTCAACAGACCTTGAAACAATCGTACGCACCTTGATGGCTTCGATAGCGTACTCTACTTGGAACAATCGTCCTTCAGGGGAGAAGGTGTTGACACCACGATCGTATTCAGTCCTGTGCACGAGTCATGTTCAGGCTCGCCAGCCACGACCTACATCGACGGACACCACGTACTTGGTTTGGAACATGTTGCTGTCGCAGGATTCTCTACCAAATGCTGCTGCGCTCCCCACATCAATCCCTCTGAAACCCGATAGATTTGCAATGCATCAAATTTGGAGGGAACATATCTTAATGTACCTCGTTACATTAGGTTAAATACCGAACACCCTTTTCTAATAATGACCAATCAAAATCTACTGTATTCAAGATGGGGTCCATGAATCAACATCTCCCAGAAGGCGTCTCATTTAGCATTATTTAGTTTAGTCCCGAACTACGGATGCCATGAACCAAGACCCACTGCGAGTACACCGACGAGGTCGGTGACGCAGAGTCTCACGCCCCGATGCGTTGTAGAGTTATCTCAAGCGAGTGGCCAAGAATGACGAAGATCTCGGGCAGTTGTCGGACCTCGCGCTACAAAACATGCGTAAGAACGATTGTATGACGACTTGTCCAACACCATCATTTGCATTAGGGAAAGCCACGGAACTCTTTGTCGATGAGATCGGCATGATCATATCGGAGCACCTTGCGAATCATGGGGGAACACTATTGACGTCCGACACCCTGTACACTCCAGTTTTCTTGGTCAAAATGACATTGGAACTCACTATTGTCTTGTACGTGGCAGGAAACGCCTTCTCCACGCATCAACATCACCAACCTTTGAGCCAATAATGCCCGTTCTTCAAACTTTAGCCATTCCTGCGCACCGCGAAAAGCCTGCAAAGCGACGCATCAATGTGCCAGCTCCATCTCGCTCAAAGATTACGCAACGCACCAAGACGAATCCTGCACATGCACCTGCCACTGTCATGCAACCTGCTACCGCTGTGAACGCGAGCCATATCGAAGAGGACGACGATTATGACGCCAGCGAGTGACCACCCAAGCAAGCGCTTTGCTTTTTGCGTCACCATTGTGCCTCCATCGTCACGAGAACGTTCCTCCCCATCTGGTTGGGTTGACTCCACGTTTTGGATGCCCCCCCCTACTAATCTCGTCACGTGCAATATGAACTGAGGAGGGCCCGTACCCCAGAATATCATTGTATCCCGGATATGATATCCGTACGCGCGTTGCGCGGGTTGCCGGAGGACAACATTGGCAATTGAGATTGCTCATTGTGTGATGTGGGTTGTGCTCAAGTTTGGAGGGACAAGTGTGTCAACGGCGCCGCGGTGGCAGCGCATCTGCAGCCAAGTGGCGAAGGTCCTTGAAGAAAAGAACCATCCACGCGTCTGGGTCGTCATCAGTGCACTAACCCAAGTCACGAACCGACTTACCCAGGCAGTTGCCGACGCGATATCTGGGATCAATCACTTGAAGAGTTACTTGGAGATTTTTGACCAACACATCGCTCTTGCCCTGGAACACAACTTAATCTTGGCCGATGAAGCCGCCACCCTTCTCGAGGACGAACATGCCAATCGTCCACGGCCAGCGGACAAGACACCCGCAGTCCTTGCCCCGTTGCTAGTTGAGTTCCAGGTACACAATGCAACCAAAAGCCAGACATGATGTTCACTGTCCTTTAGAACGTTCGACGGGTGCTAGATGGAATTCGTTTGACCGAAGAAGCGTCGCCTCGATTGCGCGCGCGCATGTTGGCGTTTGGCGAGTTGCTCTCGACACACCTCGGGCTCGAGATCATGAAGCAAGCGGGCCTCGACCGTGTAGTTCGCGTGGACGCCCGCCATGTTGGTGCTTTCTCGCCATTGCAACCATTCAATCTAATGGTTGCCTCACCAGCTGCTTCTGAGCGACGCAACCGCTTCGACGTCCGACATGGATCGGTACTTGGAAGCTAATGTGCAGCCGTCCGTCGACTCGGTTCATAATCTCCGACACTCCTATTGAGCTATTTTGTGATGGCTCTGTCGACTTAGGAAGGGCGCTTGGACAACGCATCTGCGGGGGCTACCGTCGTCCTGACACAGGGCTTTATCGCGGGAGTCGTGGCCCATACGGGCAAGTCTGACACGATTGAAACATGCGTGCTGGGCCGTGGCGGCAGCGACACGTCCGGCGCTCTCTTCGCCGCCATGTTGCAAGCCACTCGGTATGAGATATGGACCGACGTCCACGGCATGTACACGAGCGATCCGCGACACGTTCCCCACGCTCGGTTGCTGCGCAAGTTGGACTACCGCGAAGCCCAAGAACTGGCAGCGATGGGGGCCAAGGTAAGCGTGGCATCATACCGCTTCAAGTGGGATGCACACGCCATTTTCGAGTAGGTACTACACCCACGATGCATTGGGCCAGCGCATTGGGCCAACGTCCCCGTCGAAATTCGCAACACAAACGACCCGGAAGGCGAAAAGACTGTCATCGGGCACATGAAAGACTCGGGCAGTTCTAAGGTAACATCCCCCCGTCGACCCTGCACGGACGCCATGCATGCATGACCAGATCATGGCGGTGGTCCGCCGAACCAACATGACGCTGGTCACGATCACAGCGTACGGCATGTGTGGCACGTCCGGGTTCCTGTCCAAAGTGTTTTTGCCGTTTGAAAAACTCGGGATCTCGGTCGACTTGATTGCAACATCTCAGGTAAGTCGCCAGCGTTCGTCCAACTTGTCGGTGATGCTGGAGGTAGTTTTCCGTGAGTGCCACGTTGGACCACATTCCCGGCGGCGTCCAAGGCACATCGTTTGGACTGCTTTTGCTGGCTCTGGAGCGCCTCGGAACTGTCGCGGTCGTGCCATCATGCGCGACCGTATCGATTGTCGGGCGTCACCTCCGCACGTCGTTGGGCGAACTCGGTCACTTATTTGAGCTGCTGGAAGGAACGGAGGTACTTCTCCTGAGTGAATCCGCCGAGGACTTAAACTTGTCGTTCGTGGTGCGTGACTCGGACGCCGACGGCCTTGTCCACCGCATGCATGCCGCGCTGTTCCCGCCACCGGACGACGACGCGTCGTTCAAGTCGCCCATGCGCCGTTCCATTTCACGCGACGATTTGCTCGGGTCATCGTGGGCGGATTTGCGCACGCCGTCGCAGCCCATGACAAACCTGCTCCTCTAAGGAATCGATGATAGACAAATACACCCCAGTTCCTCCCATGGAGCATACCCTCATTCGCCTCTCTTCCCCCTTGGGTTTCGGCGCTTGGCCATGCTATCGATTCCGCCTCTTTTATACGTGGATGTTTTCACCACCGAAGAACAGCAGGCGGAGGTCGGAAGAAGGGTCATGGAAGATGCAGCATTTTTGACCTGCCAAGGGAATCGTCGTCCACAGATAAACGTTCAGCGATATCAACGCCGAATGAAGTTTGGTCGCTGACGCGTGGCACACGACATCGCTTTGCAATTGGTCAGGCCCTGGAGACAACAGTCGGGCTAAAGGGGCGAGACGGGCTCTTGTGCTGGCACACTGCGGAATACATCGCAATGCTATCGACTCGTGCCAGCCATCGCTTGTGCTTCTTAAGGCACTGGCACTTTACCAAGCCAATACAAATCGTGTTAAGGACGAAGGCATGGCACATGAAGTCAACACCACGACGGCGAGGACCTATTGGGAGAGTGCTGGCACATCCCAGTCACTTGCCGATGCAGCAACGTCGTCGATGCTCACGTCGTATAGACGGCGGCAGTTCCGACAGCATCGACGTCGAGAGTCGAGCGGAGCTAACGTCGTTATTGAATTTGGGCTGTGTCGATGAAACCGAGTGAACTGAACAAGTCTATGCATCGAGAATCGCCAAATTTCGACTTGCCGTGCCAGCACGCGAGATATGAAGTCGAGGGCAAATATATATTGAGTTTGCTGCGCGGGTGTGCGTGGAGCCACAGTCTTTCGGGGGCTTTTGTTGGAGGCTGGTCAAACGCTTAAGGGTTCTTGTCGCGAATCATGTGCTCGTGGGTTTCGTGCAGCCCCTTAAAGTACTTGACCGTCTTGACCTTGAGTTCCAATGTTGCGTCGTCGTCGCATACAACGACCGACTTCTTGTGGGTTTGGATGGCCGACACGGTCCACATGTGGTTCACGCCTTCTTCGATCACCTTGTACAACGCGTATGCCTTGGAGTGGCCCGTGATAATGATGAGCACTTCTCGAGCGTCCATGACGGTGCCGACGCCAACGGTCAGCGCCATCTTGGGTACCTGGTTGAGGTCTCCGCCAAAGAAGCGCGAGTTGGCCACGATCGTGTCGTACGCCAATGTCTTCACGCGAGTGCGGGACACGAGGGACGAGCCGGGTTCGTTGAACGCAATGTGCCCATCTGGGCCAATGCCGCCCAGGAAGAGCTCAATGCCGCCAAAATGGTCGATCTTGGCTTCGTAGTCAGCGCATTCCTTCTCCAAGTCGTCCGCGTTCCCGTTCAAAATGTGAATGTTTTCGCGCTTGATGTCGATATGTTGGAAAAAGTTGTTCCACATAAATGAGTGGTACGACTCAGGGTGGTCTTCTGGCAACCCGACGTATTCGTCCATGTTGAACGTGACGACATGTTCGAAGCTGAGCTTGCCTTCCTTGTGGTACTGGACGAGTTTCTTATACGACTTGAGGGGCGAGCTGCCGGTGGGGAGACCAAGGACGAACGGGCGGTTGGCGGTCGGCTTGAAGTCGTTAATGCGTTGCCGGACATAGCGAGCGACCCACGTGGCCACTTCGTCGCCGTCGCGTTGGATGATCAGTCTCATGACGGTGGTGGTAGCGTCGGGCGCAAAATCCAGAATGGGCTCTCGTCGCCGCCGCCGGCGCTGCCCTTCGAAACCCCCAACCGTCCCCCCCACTCACTCAAGAAAACCGACTTTGCACGATCAGCGTGTTCTCATCATGTAAGACACTTAATATACTATTCGTGTATACATTTGAATACCTAATTCAGTGAAGTGACGATTTGAATACAAATCTTCATACAAAACAACACAAAATATGCATTTGGACATTGCAGTTTGATAGGACCGCAGGGATTTTCCATGGATCCGGCTGCCTGCGAGTGGGACGATCCTCCAATTGCGTGTTTTGATTGGCGGGCAATCCTTGTATCCGGAAGATTTTCTTTGGCCGGATACGAGATCGAATACAAAAATCAAGTAAACGGATCTCGCAACACAGTCGATTCCGTTATGTGAGACGCGGGGGTGTAGCGTGTGGCGGCAGTTCCATGCGAACGTGGGAGGCGTCAGTTGTTTCGCCATGGAGGGATGATCCACAATACGATTGTTCGTTGGCGAAGTTCTCACGCTGCCCTTTCGTTGACACTGCTAACGAGTGTCAGTGCTACAAGAACATACGTGATGTCACGGCTGCTTCACGACACAACCCTCAAGATCGAGAACGTCCGCGTCCTGCGCGATGGGGTGCTCGTGAATACGTTTCTCTGGGTCGAAAACGGCAAGATCATGGACCCTCAAGCTCGGTACTGGAAGGCGACGTCATCCCTCGAGTACGGTCCGGGCACGGTTGTCGATGGCAAAGGTATGATCGTAGCGCCGGGCTTCATCGATATTCAGCTCAACGGTGCGTTCGGACACGACTTCTCCGACATCGATTGCACACCCGAACAAATCCTTGAAGTCCGCCAGAAGCTCCTGGCGACGGGGGTGACCGCGTTTTGCCCGACCGTCATTTCGTCGGCGCAAGACTCATACGCCAAGGTCTTGCACAAGTTTGAGCGCACCAACGACGGTCATGTCGTCCACGGGGCCAACATGGTCGGTCTCCACTTGGAAGGGCCATTCATCAACAAACAACGCAAAGGGGCACACAAGGAAGACGTCCTGGTCGACCCGGAAGAAGGCATCAAGAGTTTGGAAGAACGCTACGGCGCCCAGTTCCTCACGCGGGACCGTGTTGCCCTCGTGACACTTGCGCCGGAATTGAAGGGCGCCCTTCCTGCCATTGCCGAGCTCAAGCAGCGCGGCATCACCGTCTCAGCTGGCCACTCGTCGGCCAACATTGAACAAGCCATAGCTGGCGTAAACGCAGGCGTGTCCATGCTCACGTAAGTGTCGCTGTCCATTCCGCACTTGCCTTGTCTTCATGCCGGTGCTTTGCCTGTCGAGTTCTTGTGGATATGCCATGGCTACGTGCTTCGAGTCGGTATGGCATCCGATGGCTCGATCCTCGCAGCAAGGATGACGGTGTAATTCCTGCTGCACGCCCTCAGCTTTATCATCCATATGGTGCTTATCTGATGGCATTGTGCTTTCGATCGTGTTGGTGAAGTTGAAGCGACTACCACTTCAAAGGTGGCTTGGATCCTGCCTCAGACTGAATCGGCTCTCGTGCGTGGAATTCTTCGTTGCATTCTTGCATCATCTTTTCGTCACGTTGTCGTGCGTGCAAGCCAAATGCTGTGTGTGTGTGCTGCAAGAGGCCCCATGTCACTGCTTGGCTGGCCCCTCATGACGTCCACTTCCTTAGGCACCTGTTCAACGCGATGGCGTCATTTCACCACCGCGACCCTGGTCTTGTCGGGTTGCTCGGGGTGACGGAGCACCGTCCGTACTATGGATTGATTTTGGACGGCATCCATTCGCACCATTCGTCGTGCCGCATCGCTCAATCGTCGCACCCGCAAGGTCTGATCTTGGTGACAGACTGCATGGCCGGGATGGGGCTGCCAGACGGGTCGTACGAGCTCGCCGGCCTTCAGGTGGATGTCAAGGGCGGCCGCGCGTACTTGCAAAACACGACCACGATCGCTGGCAGCGTCGTTCAGATGGACTCGTGCATCCGCACGTTGATCGAATTCACCGATTGCTCGGTTGAGTACGCCCTGATGGCGGCGACGCTCCATCCCGCTCAGTCGCTTGGGCTGACGACGAAGGGCACTCTCAACTTTGGTGCAGACGCCGACTTTGTGCTGCTCAACGACAAGCTGCAAGTGATTCAAACGTACATCGCCGGCACGCTGGTGTACGAGCGCCCCGAGTCGGACGACGTCGTTCTACCGACAATCAAAAAGTTGCTGCGGGACTTCCCCGTTGCAATGACTCACTTTGATTTTGACGACGACAGGGCGATGGACAAGGCCGCTGCATCCGGCCAGCTCGTTCTCGTCCAGCAGATGCACGAGCAAGGCCGCCGATGCACGGTCCACGCGATGGACGGTGCTGCCGCCAACGGCCACTTGGACGTCGTCAAGTTTCTTCATACGGCCCGCAACGAAGGCTGCACGACGAACGCGATCGACGTCGCCGCATCAAACGGTCACGTCGACATTGTCCATTTTTTGACGGAGAACCGAACGGAAGGACGAACCAACTACGCGTGGAAAGCTGCCAACGAACACGGCCACCACGACGTGATCGCGTACTTGCTCCAGCACGGCCAAAACGACTGAGTGTCTCTGTGAACACGATGGATCGTCCTGCGTGGTGTATATATTTGAATTAACCTGCATCGACTTTTTTTGCGTGGCTGGCACAGACCTGCCGACGTCATGTTGATCGACAAAGGCACACGCGATTGCAAACCCGGCTCGTAGACGAAGGAAAGCACAAGGAGACCGACCCACGTTTATCTCGCGCCAACAGAGCGCAGACCTCCCTCGATCGCACCAAACTGTACACCACCGCAGGGGCTTCAGGAGGCACGACGAGGTTTATCCGCTATCTGACTTTCGTTCGTGTGTTGTTGAGATGGTCGTGTTGGTGTGAAAGGACAGTGTTGACATGACGTCGGCATGGGCGCTTCGGTGCATCATGAGTTCTCCATGGGTGAAGCCAGGCCACATCGTCGCGTGAATGGGTACGCGTGGGGTCCCGTTGTGCGACGGACCCTAGTCCAAGCAAGATGGTCGATGATGATGGTGTTGTCAAGGTAAAAACATTTCTCGTACCGGGAGGTGGACCCCGCGTTGGAGATGGGCGTACGCCGCGGGGGCATCGATGATGCAGTCTTTCTCGGAAAGAAACACGCTCGCGAGGACGTGTTTCGAGTGCGGGTGGCGAGGCAAATTGGCTGGAAACAAGGCGGACTCGTACCAGAGTAGGTGACGTCGCAAGGATCGCGCGATTCCAATCTCTTGGCTCTGCGATTCCAATCAGCATAAACAATAGCGAGCGAGCAGCCAGGTCGCACCGCAAAGTACCACAAGAAGAGGTCGATGGCGGTCGAAGGGGGTTTGTACATGAGGTTGTAAATGCCATCGTGTTTCCACATGCCAAACACGACCGGGTCCACAAACGTGAGGTAGTGCACAAGGTCGGGCCGTTCTTGGCACACCCAGCTCATCACGATCGTTCCAAACGAGTGACCGACCCAGTGGACAGAAGTGCCAGAAAGCTGCTGCTGCGCAAGCATGACGGAGATGGCGCTGACGATTTGGTCCTTGTCCGGCACTTCGTCGTCGCTCCACTGCATCGAGATGTACGGCAGGTCCATGAGGAACACGTGGCGGTCCGTCGAGTGTTCAAATAGCGTGTAAAGTAGCGGCACGTATGTCGATAGTCCTACAACGACACGTGCGAATGCGGAAGGAACACCGATGATCGTACCAATGCCCACCCCATGCACAAACACCAACGGAGGGGCCTCGCCATGGCTCGACTGTGGCGGACGGTGCCAATATCGAATGGCCGATGTGACGTAGTAATAGTGGAATCCCTGCCATCGTAGCCAGGTCGACACCACGTAGTTGACGCCTAGAACAGGTCGTTGTCGACAGTTTTGTCAACTCTCGTCTTGTACGAACCAATCGTTGCCATATACAACGCCATGGGGCGAGCGGTGGCCTCAAATGGGTCTAGGTTCGGCTTCAAGAACGGAAATGTGGCGCCATCCGACAGATCCTTGGTGGTAGGAGAGTTGGCTTGGGCGTACAGCTTGGCCACCATCGCGTCGAGTTCTTTCTTTTCGATGGCAGTCGTGTCGTCGTACGACTTGGTGTAAAACACAAAAGCACACCACTTGGCAATGTCGAGCCGAGAAAGTCGCGCAAATTCGACGCCGTGGAAGTGCTACGGCAATCGGTCAAGGCATGGTTCTTGAACGCCATCCACAATGCGTACCCCTTGAACGAAGGTAGGAACGTCGTCGACATGTGCCATCATCCTGTCAAAGAAATCCATCGCCGAGTTCAGCGGGTTTGGTCGGTTAGCGTGCACGGATTGAATGCTTGGTGGGTTCGGGCGCAACCTTCCAGCGATCTGCTTTTTGTGGAGGTAGTGTAATGTGAAGAGACATTCTGCGCCGAAGTAGACCACCAACGGCACAGCCACCTTTGAAGGAAGGATGAAGTGACCAGCAAGCCCCAACTGGTTGGCGACCAGGCCAGCCAACGCCACCGGAGAGAGGTACACCAGAGCTCTGTGGCAACCGAAGCATGAGATCAGTAGGGACGATGCACTAGCGAAGACCTACCTGACGGGAAGAACGACGAAGATGAGGCACATGTAGTAGTCTACGGATTTCACCATCGGTCTTTGTCTTGGCTTGCCCATGGTCAATGGCGTGATGTCGCCGAGGCCGTCAATGCGCGCAAATTTTCCAGACGAAGGCGGTCGACGATACTTTCCGCCGGTTTCGTACCGACAGTTTCTTAGGAGCAAATTTCACAAAAACCACGCATATTTTTCTATGAAAAAAGTATAACACTTGGAGATAATTCTTTGTTGGCACCATTGGCGATATTTCAAATTTCCTGGCATGAATGTGAATGCATCCTAAATAAACCACAGGACAGTTAGCTAGGCTCATTCCCATGAGTTGAGCTTGACATTTGTATGGACAAGCGATACCTAATTGGAATTTTAATCAGGAGTGTATCTATTCTGACGTCCGCGCAGAAATTCCTCGCCCACCCCAGAGCAGCGGACGTCGGGCAAAGCAATTTGAAGTGGCGGTGCTGTGCACTTCTCCCAGTACGTTGCTCTCTTGTTCATGGAAGATGATTAGGGTAGTTATGAATACATTGGACAACACTTAAAATGAGCAAGCGTAACATCGCTGTCGTCGAGATGAATCAAATTTGCATCTATTTTGTTTTTGTTTTGTGATCCGCTCAATGATTGTCCTGGTGTAAAGAATTCAAAAATCCAAGGGAAAATATATACGATAATGTATTCTCCATTTGGCAGTGTGACCTGAGAATAGTAAAATTAAGTTATTTTATGCCTTCAAAGTTTGCCAACAGTACCGCACCCAACGAGGTTGTTTTGGCAAGTAATGACGGCCCTCCTGCGAAAACGAGCCTGCGGCAGTGCGCACGCTCCCCCCGTTAGTTGCCACGGACAGCATCCATGCGCCGTGCAGAAGCAGCGCAAAGCTTAGTGAATGCGGCGGCCATGAACTGGTGTTTCCAGTCCCTATACGCACTGCATCTCTGAATCGCCAGACCTGATCCGATAATGTCACACATCGCCTTGGAATATGGCTACATGCGCAACAGTGCATGGTAGCACGGCCATGGCGGTGGCATGGCGTCGCTGTGCTATGTTAATAGTTGTCCTTCTCTGCGTTGGAATGCAGGGTGTACCATCAACAGCATCGCACAGCCTGGGATCGCAGTCCTACCGACGCTGCCGCCAAGAATCAACATGACAACCAAGATCCATGCATGAATCCACACAACCTTCTCTCTACTTCTATTCCTTCGAGCGACCAATCTACCGTCGGCGGTGGCGAATTGTCCAGACAAGACCAAGCAAGAGCGCGACAACAGTCATCGCGAGCGTGTCCGTCTCGGGCATGACATCCGCTTGAACGAGGAGGGACACCATGTCGACGCCGGAGACGAAGCTCAGGACAAACGTTCCAGCCCTGACGACCCATTCCCAAATGTGTTTCCACTGGGCCCATGCTTTGCGGTGAAGTGCAGCGACAACCGCGGCGGTCATTTCCGGCAATGTCATCTACACATGGTACTTCAAAGCCATGTCCAGCTCCAGTCTGCGATCGTACATGTTGAAATGGTACGAGCGCTTGGTGCCACGCCAGCTTGTACAAGGCCAACGTGACGGGGACATACCCCTCCGGGTTGATATCCAACGACAGGTCGTAGTACCGCTTCGCCAGCAAAAAGTCCTGCGTAGCTCCAACGCCATGCTCATACATGTACCTACGCCATGATCGTTAGACAACCCGTCCACGACGACACTGTGCATACCCCAGGTTGTAGCTCGCTTGCCCGTGCTTGGTGGATGCGGCGATGTAATGCGCCATGGCCTTGGCGAAGCTCGGGGCGGTCGAAGTCCCGTACCCGTAGTAATAAAAATCGCCCAACTTGACATTTGCGTCCACGTTGCCCTGCGCCGCCGCGGCCTTGTACAGGCGAATCGTGCCATCGCCCAACGCGTGTTTGAATGACATCCCGAGCTGCGATTCCAGCATCCAAGCCGCGTTGTGCTGGGCAACTTCGTACCCCTGTTCAGCTAGCACCACGTACGTTCGGAACGCGGTCGTGTAGTCGCCCTAGACGCACCATCGTCGGTTGTGTCGTGGTGGATGCACAATTTTACAAGGAATTGTTTCAACGGATCGAAGATCGCCACACTTGTTGCAATCATGTCCATACCATTGCAAAGAAAACCAAGACAGCCACGCATCAAAAGATGCCCATCACGACGTCATGCGACCCACTCAAACAATCCACACAGCTTCACAGGAGCAGCAAGACAAGTGGGTGGATGTGTTACCTCTGAGAAGCGCTGGTACGCATGACGCAGTTCCTTCTCCCAGTACCCTCGCTCCGCGACCGTCTTGAACGACTCGAGGGCAGCGCGGCACGACCGTGACACGCCGATGCCGTTCATGGCCATGTGCCCGACTTTGTGCATGCTCAAAGTGTGCCCGTGTTGCGCAGCCACTTGAAAGTACCCATAAGCCGCTTCAAAATCAGGGCTCCCGTCCACTTGCAACGCGCCTTGGAGCGCAAGCAGCCCGAGGTTGTAAAACGCGTCGGCGTTGCCTTGCTTGGCCGCCGTGCGGAAGAGCGAGATCGCCTTGGCCTTGTTTTCCTTGACGCCATGCCCGTGCAAGTACAGCGACGCGAGACCGTTCTGCGACGCTGCGTTGCCCTCGTGCGCCGCTTCTTGATAGTACGCAAACGCCTTGTCCATGTCGACGTCGACCCCGATCCCGTTGGCGTAAATATGCCCCAAGTTGGTCGCCGCCGCTGTCAAGCCCTGCGCGAGGCATCGATCGTTGGACGTCCGTAAGGAATAAAACTTTCAAAAGGCAGCCAGAACGAGTTGACACGGACTTCAAACGTGTGCACAAAGTCCCGACGAGACCTTCACTTGGAGAATTCCATCAGGTTGTCAGTCCATGGCGAATTAATGGCCACCACACCATCATCCAACACGATTCAGAAACCACCAGCAGAGTCTCGACAGCCATCCAAAAACACAGTCACACGCGAATACGCTGCTGCAAAGACACACCAAGACACGACTCGATCGCACCACGAGATCGTACCAAGAGGTGAGCTTTGCGAAAGTATTGCACGGCCTTCGTCAAGTCCTGGGTGACTCCACGTGCTCCGTAGTAATACAGCAGCGCCAGATTCAAAGACGCTTCGGGGTCGCCCTTTTCAGCCGAGAAGTGGTAGTACTCGACGACCTAATAACAAGTCAACGGCCTCAACACACGGCGAGATGCAGCGTACGTCGACATCGCCGGGTTGGTTCTTCTTATGTTGGAGGTCCGCTTGGGTCTTGAGTCGTTTGTGGCGCTGGTCGTACAGCACCGGACTGAGCGAGTCTTCGTTCTCGCGAATCTCGATCGCCCGGTTCGCCACCACTTCGTAGTAGCGCAATGCAGCATCGCAGTTCTTGGGCACACCGTCGCCCATCATGTGTTTGTACCCGAGAGCCATGTTCGCGGCGAGGTCGCCGCCCGCCGCCGCAAAGTATAGATACACCACGGCCTTGGCGTCGTCGGGGGCATCGCCCCAGAAACCCGTGGCATGGGCCACACCGAGGAGGAATTGAGCCCGTGCAAGTCCTTGGGCCGCAGCGAGCTCGACGACGGGCAGACTCGCGTTGTTGCGATTTGTGTGCTGGGACGTGCCGTTGCCGTAGAATTCGGTCAGGGCAGACTGGAGCAACCGCGAGAGGTCTGAGGGGTCGACACCTGCAATTGCGACCGACTCGGCATGTTGTTGCCATGTCGACGACGCCGGCTGCGGGGGCGCAACCGACGCAGATGACGCACACGCACAGCACGTGGCAGCGGTAGCAAGGAGGAGCGGGTGAACAACTCTCATGGGGTTACAGTCTGACAAGAATAGCACCGCCACCCTCGGACGGACAACCTGACTTTGGGCTTCCCGAAGCCGTGTCCACGTTAGTGCGACCACGTGGACCCGTTTATCCTAATTAGGAAAATTGGATTAATTGGACTGGTTGCAATAAGATTAGGGAATTTGAACCAATCAAAACGGACCGGCCAGTTTGTCGCAAAACCGAATTCATCAATATTCTGAAACATGGCTCGGAATACGCTGGGACTGCTGCGCAAAACGAAAAGGAAAGACGACTGGTGTACTGTTTACCAAATCCACCCACGTCCTACTTACTACCGCTCATGTGCGGTCACTTGTAATTTGCGTACACAGGAATAGGACATCATATTGTCGTTGAATTTTTGCAAGTTTTGGATCAAAATATCAACATTTGTCAGTAGTCCATTAAATATGACCTTTTTGAATAAATAATGAATCTGTTTGGGTAAAAACGATTCATTTATTCATCATGTGAAGAGCTAGTACTACACGACACCCACAAGCACCGCAAGCACCACGTTGGTCCTGCTCTTTCTGTTGCCATCCACGCAAAACCCACGAGGTTTCAAGAACAGAAAGATATAAAGGCGCACCTCTGTCCAGGAACATCAGCGGCGTCACGGGCGTTTGAGGAGCTTTACGTTAACATAGTCGACATTGTGTACGATCCATCTTCCTGGCTTCGTCTCATGGTCAATCTGAGCCAGTAGAAGGATAGGTGAATCCATGGATTCGCCTTTCACTGACGCTGCTCCCAACCACTATGTACCGGTGAATTCACGAGCGCTAGCAACCCCTCTGAATCGAAAGAAGTACCGGTTCGATACGTCAAGTTTGCGACCATGTCCCTCACCATCGGGGGGAGGCAATCTGAAAACTGAACGGCACTACACGACCATACTCGTTTTGAACCCAACAGAGAAGGGTATACTTGACTTGTAGTTGCAGCGAGAGGCAATAATGCGAGACAGAACCGATGGCTGGATGGGTAACTTTGCACCGTACATTGTTTTGTTATTATAGTCCAACTTCCCTTAAATAGCCTAAAAGGTACATCCTTTTCTCTACAGACGACCTAGGATACCGCAGTGGAATCTACTACCCATAGTACAGAGAGTTGAAATGGCGCGTGTTCGGGTAAACGTTCATGGCGAGTCCTCGACGGCATTCTGGCTTTGGCACCTTACCGCATCGACGCCATGCGCAGTGGAATCTGCGCAGCCTTGCTCGCTTACTGCATCTGGGGCTTCTCGCCGTTGTACTGGCGTCTGCTCACGGATGTGCCATCGGATCAGCTCGTCATGCACCGCATTGTGTGGTCGTTCCTAATTGTCCTGGCCATCGTCGCGACGACGCAGTGGAAGGACTTTCGACAGAATGCGCTCACATGGTCTAACATTTGGCTCCACGGCACCGCGGCGTACTTCATCGGGATGAACTGGGCCATGTTTGTGTGGGCCGTCAACTCTGGCTTTGTCGTGCAAGCAAGTTTGGGCAACTACATGTTGCCGCTGGTCACGGTCCTGCTGGGTGTCGTCGTACTTCGGGAACACCTCCGACCTTGGCAGTGGTTTGCCATCGGCCTCGCCGCAGTCGGTGTTATCATCGTCTCGATCGGATATGGCGTTGTGCCGTGGATCTCGTTTGCGTTGTCCACTACAGAAGGCTTCTACGGCCTCTTCAAAAAGAAGGCGACGCTGCCGTCCTTGCAAGGGGTTGTGCTGGAAACGGGCGCCCTGTTTCTGCCGGCGTCCACGTACCTCTTGTGGGCGGAGTACACAGGGGTGGGGGCGTTTGGCCATGGCACCATGGGCAAAAACGAGCTGTTGTTTGGAGCCGGTATCATGGCAACGTCGTCGCTCGTATCGTTCGGCTACGCCGTATTGCGTATCCCCCTGACACTCACGGGCGTCCTTCGTTACATCACACCGACGATTCAAGTGTGTCTGGCCGTATTTGTCTATCACGAACCGTTCTCGCCCCTAAACTTGGCCGGTTTTGTCCTGCTGTGGATTGCTCTGGCCATCTTTTCCTTCCAATCTTACTTGAAACATCAAGACGACATGCGGAGAAAGACCCAAGTATCCCTGCTCCAGTCGGCATCGTCGCAAACCGTGTACAAGAGTGTGTAAAACGCAATGTGCGGTCGTCTGTCCGTTATCAATCTATGTCGAGTGTTCGTGCATGCATTGATAGCGCCCATCTCGTTAACATGCGGGGCAAGGAGCAAGTCGCACCCCTGGCTAGAAGCATAGCAGTAGGCGAGCTCAACGGGCATCTTCAGTTGTCGCAGCATTGCATGTGAGGCATGAGAGATGAGGGCAGAACAAGACAATGGAGGGAAGATTGTCTTGGCCACATGGCACTCGATATTTTTTACAGAGATATCTTACGTTGGCCGAGACTCTTGAATCAGACCATGAGTACGATTGGCCGGCACGGACATGAGCCCAACAACGACGAGTGAAATTGGTAAAAATTATTCCTCTCTCCCTGATCAACTTCAAACTTGATAGTGGATCGCTTCGGTGGAATTATGACAAGAATTTGTTGTATTGTAATTGGAATTTGCACGATGGCGGTCAAGCACTATCTGATTGGCTCAAATTATCGGCATTTATTACAGCGGTCAGATCTCAATCGGTCCTCCTTGATGCACTTCTCATGAT